ATACTTATTCGACAAGACAAATCTTTCATTAAGTATTTTCATACGGTCATGTTCAGTGAACTTATTCTCTAACAGGCACTCACATATATGTACTTGCGTCCCACGCTAATGTTGATGGAATGCAACATTCTTGTCCAACAAGCATACATACTATGTGCAATTCTTTTATGGATTATTCGATATCCCATCTCGAAACATCCATCGAATTGGAACTTTATTTAAGATCACTGCTTTCAAGGTATGTTCCATGATCACCATCTCTATGCGCAACCATACCTTATAACATATGTGATCTAGGGATTTTATCTTAAGTGAAATTTTATGATAAATGCTTACTCTTAAGATAAAGTAATGCCTTTTAATTAATATAATTCCAATAGATTGTATTTACAAGTAGAATACGTCCAATCAGATTGGAACGCCGGGTATACTACTCTAACAGGCGGGAGGGCGGCGCAAGACATAGGCGGCGGATGGCTAGGGTTTCTATGCTTGGAGTGCAAGGAAAGGATTTGGACTGCAAGCCAAGTAATTAGGAGATCTAGTAGATTTAGGATTTTATTAGTATGGTAATTAGGATATTTAATTGCTTTAGGATTTATATTCATGCAAGAGTTAGGAGTTCTAGTTGGAGTAGGATTAGAGATAATTAGGATCTATAAATAGGGATCATCCCTCATTGTTTTTCATGTCCAGAATTGATGAATATAATAGAAAAGAACATTGTGTTCATTCGTGTGTTTAAGCAAGGTCCCGACTGCGTGTTTATCATACAACCGTGTCTAAGAGAAGGCCCTGAGTGCATCTATTAGTCACACCTATCGTGTTTAGTCGAAGGCCCTGAGTGCGCGATTATTCACAAGCAATAGACAAAATCACGATCCCTCATCATTGGTGCTTTCCTTGATAGAATCGATCATGTTTATGTCTATTTTATCTTTTTTCTTTTTTTCGGTTTTGCCTTTTGCTGAGGGTGCCAATTTTTCTCTTCTTTTGTTCGAATTTTTGCTTCTTTTTCCTTTTTTTTTCGAGAGTTTTGATTTAGTATAAAAAAAAGTGTCATCCTAGTTGTTTTGATTTTATTTTTTAGAGTCTTAAAAAAAAGACGAGAGAGTCATGATGTTCGAGCCATTATATGAGTTAGATTGGGAGGATCTTGAATTTTTGGAGGGGTTGAATAGGAGTTTGACCCCAAAGGAGCAAAGTTATTTGGAGGAGTTGTACGAGCAAAAGGAGAAGTATGAAAGACAACTCAAGATCATGGTGGAGTTCGATGAAGAAGAGCCCTTGTTTACGTTCGATCTACCGAGCTATGTTGAAGATAAGGTCACCGAGTTCGTGGTCGAGCAAGTCGAGTCCGAGAATCCACCTTCGTTCAGCGACGCGATTACGGATGAGGGAGCGGCGATCGACTACTTAGGCCCACCTATACTTGACGTTCAGTCCGATGATAAACTCATAGACGTCGAAGGATCCGAGTAGTAGGTCGAAGAGGACCATGAGCGAAATTCGTACATGATGGTCGAAGTGGCTGTGGTCGAAGAGGACCATTATCAGACGAATAGAAAGGACCATGCAGATGAAGAGGAGGCGACATTCCAACTGGTGGTTGTCGAGAGCGAAGTCTTGGTCGAGATCGAAGAGGTGCCCAATGTTTTGATGGGCGAGGACGAGTCCTTGCGAACAAGGACATTCTCAAAGGGGGCGGGAATGATGCGGAAGTGGGGTTGGAGCCCCGACAATGAGAAGGGCCAAGAGCCGATGTAGCGCCCCGTTTGAATATTAGATTTTTCTGAGTTTATTTATTAATTAATGGTATTTTATTTTATTTTATTATTGATATGTCTTGATTATGTGATTATATATATATTATCTCGTTCAATTTTATCTCATCAATCATCGTTTGAATTTTCTGTTCAATCGTGTAAGTCGAATTATTGTTCATTTGAATTAATTTTAGAACCGTTGCGACCCGAAATGCAAAGAAATTCAACCAAACCTTAGGACATTGCATTACCGTATCTTTAAAGTATTATTATCTATCAAAACCTAATTAGAAGAGGAAAATTTGATTGTAGTCAAATTCTTCAGTTTTCGGTTATAATCCGATTTTAAGTCCGATTTCGGTTCCGTAAAATTTATTTTTCATCTCAATGTTTTTAGTAAGTATCAAAATCAAAGTTACTAATATTCTTCATCCATTTTAAGTACAAAACCGAATCCATACTCTTTCATAAGAGTTAGAGAACCATGTTACTTGCTTTTGTCATCAAGTGTTTGTAAATGGTTAGTTTTAGGTTAGGTTGAATTTAGATCTTATGTCCCCTCATGGCATGTTCCTATGTTTCATTCCTTAGTTGTATTAGATTATTAAAAAACTGAATAACTTGAACAAATAGAGAGAAAATCGGATTTCAAGCAAGATAGGGAGAGAAGTAGAAGAACCGAGCAACACATTTTTCATTTCTCCTCATTTTTGTTTTCTTGAAGGTGGTAAGTTTCCTCTGTTATGACTTCAAGGAATTATTTTCTGAAAATGTGTTCTTCATATAAAATGTAGTTCGTTTCGTTAGCTTTCTCTAGTCTTTGTAATTTCATGAATCCGATTTATATCGAATAAATTATGATTTTCGAAACATCGTCGCGCAATCAGTTTTTATAAAATCCCGGCAGCTTGTGTTCACTTAATGTTTGATCTGTTTATCATGTCTTAAAATGCTAAACTGAAAAGGTGACCATCATGAAAGTTGTAGATATCTTTCTTACTTTTCTAATGAGGTAAGATACATGTTGATATGAGCTCTGTAACATTAGTTGGAGTTAATTTACTGAGGTGTTGTTTGTAGCATGACCTTATTCCTGTCAGATTTCATAAACCGTATGTTTTGTGTTTAAACTCATCTATGATGTTGTTATTTGTCAATATTGTCTTTTGAAATGTTGTAGCTAATCAAGTTAGAAATCTTTTAGTTTTAGAATCAAGTCATTTAGACTTGATTTGAGTTTGTTACGAATTTTTGTAGTTGTACATGCATGCTATTTTTATATATCCCGGCAGGTTTGGTGATTAAGATGTTAGGTTGTTTTTGATGATCCTAATGTGGCTATATGAAAATATAATCATCATAAAACTTGTAGTATATATTATAAGCTTTCAATAGGAGTTTAAATCATGCAATTTAGAGTTTCAGTTGATTTTATATAATGTTTCTAAGTTGGGTTTATGTCCAGAATTTTGATGCAGTGGCTGTGTATATACTCAAAATGTATGTTCTGAAATGAGGCCTATAACGTGATTATTTGCAAACACGGTCTTCAGTAAAGTTTGGTTGGTTACAAGTTCTCATTAAAAACATGTCTGTAGCGTCGGTTAGCTAGTAAATACTGAAGTCTGGTCGGTTACAAGTTCTCGAGAATTGACTGCTACTCAGTTTTAAATGTTTGATGATTTATTTCCTAGTACACGACCTTATTTGCTTTTGGTGTCTTCATAAAAATTGTATATGCATACCTTAGGATTACATTGCAACTTGAATCATATTCTTATGAGTTATGTGTTGAAAGTTATGTCGATTTTAAAAAACGCTGCCCGGGTTAAATTTTGAAAAACGTATGTGGTACTTTCAAAAATGAGATTTCCTTGATTAAATGCTTATGTAAGCTTAGTTGGACTAAGTTATTATTATGATTAGTTGGTCATGGGTTGAATAGTCATTTAAAGGACTATTTTAATAAATGTAGGTGCTTGACGAGCCGAGCTCGCCGCCAACCCGTTATTGTTGTGCTTTCGCTTGTTATCATCCAGGAGGGTTTACTTATAAAATTTGATATGCCGCATGTGTTTCATTTAATGTTGGGTTGGTATGATCCAAGTATGCATGTAAACCATGTAGCCTATTCGGTGTGAGCCGATTCGGCCGTCGGTATGGTTGTCCTCGTCGATGTAATACAGTTACCCTTGCGAGGTAAGTCCCCTAAGACCTAATGAAAGGTCGTGTCTGTAGCGTGGCACGTACCCCCACCGTTAGGGTAATGAATCCCCTTTCCGTGGCTAATGAAAGATGTGTACACAGGGGTAGTATGTTGTGATTTGATATGGGGATGTGACAAGTAATTGATTTATGTTCATACTACGACCATGCCTTCTTTACATTGCTATTATTGTGATATACATGCATAGTGGTGAGATTCTCGTTTTCCTTTTATGCTCATCCCCACCTGCTCTTCATAGATGCAGGTTAAGGCAGGTTGGCGAGCATGACGATTGAGGGGCGAGTGGGTCGGTCATGTGATTAATTTATTTATGCTTTCGTTTGAATAAATGTGGTGTCTTTTGAACTATTTATGCCGATGCATGTGAAAACCTTTTCAAACTTGTGTTTTGTTTGATGTTTGGGAATACTCGATGAACCCTTATTGTTGAACTTGTGATATTTGGTGTTATGAAGTTTGAATATTTATGATGAGTATGTTTTCATGCAATATGAAATGGGTTAATGAAAACCTTTGTAAAAACTGGGTAATGAATCTCTTTGGACCAGATAAGACTTGGGTTATGAAGAATGTTGTTTAACATCCAATGAATTTCAGAAAAGATCTCGAAAATGTTTATTTGATTTTTTGAAAGCTCGGGATTTATTTAAAATCAAAGTGGCGTGTTACAGTTTTGTAACAGAGCCAGTCTGCATTTTTGTAGACTGGTTTATATGTGATTTTGACCTTGTGTTGGCCACTCGTCTCCGTCATGCCGCACTGCTTAAGGTATGTTTTTCATTTAAGTATTAATGAAAATGCTTAATGAGCAAATTGTGAATTTGTACACATGTAGCAATGAGAATATTTTTGTAGAGTATTGTTATTCTTGGGGCTTAGGATTTTTCCATCTTGATTTAATCGAACCATATTGTTTAATGGCGAACTCTAGACTTCCGTATATATATTATTGTGTTAATTTTTTTCGGTCTATTCAATGTAGAGTTATGAATACCCGCAACAACCGCAACCGTCAGCTATCTCTGTCTCCTTCCCCGTCTCCTCATCATCACCAGGCCCCTCCGGCCATGGACTCGACCCCGCTCATAGTCCAATTCCAAACCATGCGCACGCCAACTTTCAAAGGGACTGAGAACCCCACTGCGATACTGGAGTGGATCAAAGAGCATGATAAGATTTTTGTTGTGATCCCCCTCCCGGACCGACAGCGTATATCACTTGCAGCTTATCAGATGAAGGAGAACGCTTCTGACTGGTGGATTGACCACTGGGCTCAGAAGCCAGAGGCGGAGCTTCATGCTCTCACGTGGGAGCAAATGA